CAAATTTTAATAAAAAACAAATTAAATCCTATAAAAAATAAAGTTAGAAATTATTTTTAAAAAAGAAAGAAATAAAACATACCAAAATAATTTAAATATATTTATTAGTAAAAAATAAAATTTTTAAAAGAAATGAAAGTGTCTTTTTCCTTTAATTTTAAAAATTCAATTTAAAATCAGCAGCAAAAATCATACCTTATTTTCTCTCGTAATAATTATAAAAAATTTTCTTTAATAAATATATTTTAATATAATAGTAAAAGGTAATAATTTTGATCCATTATCCTGATTTTATTATCTTTCTTTAACTTATTTTATTAAATTTATTTTTATAATATTTATAAATTTTAATAAAAATATAAAATTAAATTCTATTAAAAAAAAGCTAGATATTACTTTTAAGAAAAAAGGAAAGAAATAAAACATACCAAAAAAATTTAAATATATTTATTAGTAAAAAATAAAAATTTTAAAAGAAACAAAAGTATCATTTTCCCTTCATTTTAAAAATTCAATTTAAAATTGGAAGCAAAAAAGGTACCTCATTTTCTCTAATAATAATTATAAAATTTTTTTTTTCTAATAAATATATTTTAGTATGATAGTAAAAAGAAAAATTTTGGGTTCATTATTTCGATTTTCTTTCTTTTCTTTTACTTATTTTATTAAAATTTATTTTTCTAATATTTATAAATTTTAATCAAAATATAAAATTAAATTCTATTAAAAATAAAGCTAGAAATTAGTTTTAAGAAAAAAAAGGAAAGAAATAAAGCATACCAAAACAATTCAGATATATTCATTAGTAAAAAATAAAATTTTTAAAAGAGACGAAAGTATTATTTTTCCTTGATTTTAAAATTTTAATTTAAAATCAGAAGCAAAAATGATACCATATTTTCTCTCATAATAATTATAAAAATTTTATTTTTTAATAAAAATATTTTGTTATGATAAAAAAGAGTAATAATTTTAGATCTATTACTCCATCTTGTTTCTTTTTTATTTTATTTTATTAAATTTTATCTCACTAATTTTAACAAATTTTGATAAAATATATAAAATTAAATCAAATTAAAAAAAAAGTTAGCAATTATTTTTAACAAAAACCAAAAAGAAATGAAGCATTTTCAAACAATTCAGACTCTCGGGTGGTTGACATTTATTTTTTAAAATAATATAAAAAAAACTTGTATATAATAAATGATTTAATTAATAAAGTTTATATTCTATCCATAATTTTAAATTTAAATAGTAAGATAGATATACAAAAAATCCCAAAACAAGCTAGAGAAAGAAAAAAGAGAGAGAGAGAGATTCAGGCACAAGTATTTTTTTTTCTCCCTCTTGTTTGTTTTTTTTCATTAGTTCTACTTGCTCGTGATTTATGAAACAAATGACATCACATATTTATAGAACCTATAACTTAGTCATTAATAATTCTTATTTATTAAGAACTTTAACTTAGTAAGTATATTTATCTTTAAATAAATTTAATCACCCAATAATTAGCTAATCAATTGAATTTTATCAAAATCCAAACTGATTTTTACTTAGAATTTGGGTTAATATCTAACAATATCTACATTCACACAAATTTATCATACTACATTGTAGGATTTTTTTCAACGGACATTGTGTCAACTTTGTCTTCCAACCACGAATTTTAAACCATAGAATCAACATACTACAATTATCTTAAAATTCACAAATTTCATGAATTTTCTTTTTAACTTATGTGAAACAACCTGCTAATTATGGTGCAACTCCCATGTTTGATTTTCATGAGAGTTCTTCAACCATGGACATCATTCCACCAGACATCTTGCATCAACACCAAACCAATGCTAGCATGCAGACTTGTAGGTTTGCTAATTGTAATACATTTTTTATCAAGGAAACTATCAACATGTCACAAAGATATCCATATCCTTTCCATAAGAGATTGTCTTTAAAAGTTACACTATCAACTACCTTTAGAGCTATTAGTCGAATTAGCTTCTGACAATTTTATTTTAGAGAGTGTAGATTGTCAACACATCCTAATAATTTTTTTAACATGCCTAAAGTGTCCATACATCCAGTAAGCTTTGTTTAAAGTGATTGATTTGCCTTTCACTTACATTATCCAAATCAATTCTCTAATCTCAACATCAAACTTGACCACTAACATTCTACCCCGTGCCTTGAACTTGATAAATGACTACTTCAAAGCTCCAAATACATTAAAAGAATCTCAAGCTTTGATATTACTTGTTAAAATTTGACAGCAGCATTGTCGAATTCCATTTCACCATATCTATTTTTATAGAAAATATCAAATAGAAATAAAGTGCATAAAGAATAATACAACACAAGAATTTTACATGAAAAACTCCAAAGACAAAATCCATTATGTGAAAATTTGTTAAATTCACATAGAATTTCACCACTCACTCAAGATTCCCATGTATTTTCTACCATCCTAAAATAAATATATAACAAACGCCATAACAATGATCCCCATGTGTTTTTTACTATTGTAAATAGATATACGACAAATCTCAAAACAAGCTTGAAAAAGAAAAACCGAGAGATTATAAGAACAAAAGCTTCTTTCTTTTCTTCTTCTTTCAACCTTTTATTTTTTTTTCTTATTAGCTTCACTTGCTTATGATTCATGAAGCAAATGACATCACTCACCTATAAAGCCTATTGCGTAGTCAGCAAAAATTCCTATTTGCTAAGAACTCTAACCCATTATGTATATTATCCCTAAATAAACTTGATCACCTAAGTAATTATCTAATCAATAGAATTTTACCGAAATCTAAATTAATTCTCAATTAAAATTTGTGGTCAATATCTAACAGGTAGCTTGTCTTATTGTGTTACCACAAACTGGTGCACCCCTAACAAACACCAAACGCATGCCTATTTACACCTCAGCTAATCCCTCTCCTCTCTTTCATTTTCTTGACCATCAAGGACGCAAAAAACATGAAGACATAAGCTAAATGCCAGCTGATTAGAAGGTGGAAAAATCTTCTTCAACAGAACTAATTAGGACATCATTTTGATCCAAGTTGGACCTAAGTTGCAAGGGGATTAGATGGAAATTGAAACATGACTTGGCTGCCTAGTATTGGAGGGTCAAATGGGTAGAGGACTTGAAGGTTTAGGGGATTTTAAGGAGATTTTTCAGATTGCGTTTTAGAGAGAAAAACCGTTGGTAGCAAGCTAGACATAGTTGCTGTCAGGCTCGCTTTTGGGCTTCCATTTTCCCTTTTTTTTGTATGTAATTTCATAGGAGTTAAGGATGATGAGAGTAAGCCTTAAGGTTGAGGTATCACCTTAGGTGGCTTACTCCACTTGAATCTTGCATTTAAACTTTAATTTTCTGGTTGTAGACATTCATGACAGCAAGCTAGATATAGTTGCAACTGCCATGTTTCGGTTTTCCCTGTATTTTCTTTGGTTTTAATGTTAGTTTTTGTAAGATTGGCATAGTAGGAAGAATCCTTGAAGTTGAGACATCATCTTAGGCTTACTTTAATTTTCTTGCTATTTATTTTTCATGCTCTTTAATTTAATTTTTATGCTTCTTAATTTTCATGCCATTTAAATTTGATCTATTTCCTTGTGTTATTTAAGTTTCCATGTTGAGATCTTCTTAGACTTATGCATTTTAAGTTTCATCTTTAAATTCATGTTGATAGTTTAGATTTCAATTAAATCATGCAAAAGACTTTTAGAATTTTTTTAATTTAAGACTAGTTTAATATTGTTGCGATTGAAAAAAGTTTGGATTAAAAAAAAATGCATTTAAAAAGTTTGGTGAGAAAAGAATAGTTAAAAGTTTTTAAGTATTTGGTATTAATGTGAAAATGTGATGTGAGTAATTAAAATGTCTAAAAGATATTCTTAAAATAAAAAAAAATAGAAATATAAGGATAATAAATTTTTTTTAGTATGTGAGTAATAAATGTTTACTTAGTTCTTAGTAATTTTCTTTTCTTTTTATTTTTTTGGGTAATATGGCCGATCTTTTAGAGCTTAGGACTTTGACAGACTTTACCGCATCACATGAGGTAAGAAAAAAACAACTCTTACACAGAGGCAATTGACAATTTGACATTGTACTAACATACCATTTGACCAAGATGCAATTCCTGCCTAATAGATTTTTTAACGTCTTGATAGCGTGGATTAATATTATATGTTGAATACTTAGACAGCTGAGAATTTACGATAAGCTTAGTGAAAGTTTCTTGGGTTGCTACCTATCTTCAAGTACATGATTAATTCTCAACACATTTGAGTGCTTTCATGGCATCAAACCTCGTGCACCCATTCACCAAACTACATATTCGTGATTTGGGCCCTTTCCCCAAACCCTTTTCGTTTCATTTAAAACTTGGGCCCTATTTACTTGATTTGTCTACTCATTTAAATATTATTTTTGAGGGTTGACATCAGCAAAATATTTGATATAATATTTTTGTTTTAAAAATTTTAATGTAATACTTCAATTATAAGTTTGATAATTAATATTATGCTTAAAAAATTATTTTTCATCATTTATCATCATTTAAAATTAAATAAGTTAGAAATAATTATTTCATTAAAAAATTTTAAAATTTAAATATAATATTAAATATTTTATTATAATTTAAAAACCATTAATAACATTAATCCTAGATTTCCATGTGAAATATTTATTACCCTATATAGGTACCTTCGAGCCTCTTCTGTTGCCTTCTCGTAATTTTATAAGATGATCAGCCTTCTGAAAAGGATCAGTGTTCCCACCTTAAAACGAAAGGAATGAGGAGATTGTATTTTCTCCCAACGACATTTATTTCAGTGAAAATTGTCGGTCATCATATGCTTTTCGGATTACTGCTCATGAAATTTCAAAATTAGATCATGAGCGTTTCTAGAGGTATTTGCAGTCTAACTAATACTGAAAGTTTTGAGTCTATTCAATTGAGATTTTGAACAATTACTAAGAATCATTATTCTCAAACATCACAATATTATTTCAAGTGCAGAAAAAAAGCATCTCAACGGATTAACAACCACATACAATAAGATTATAAGCTACTATCTTGGAGATTAGACATTAAGAAAGAAGCAAATCTCATCAAAAGTCTAAGGTGTCACAACATTTATTTGCATTACTTGTCATTATTAAGTTCAAAGCAAACAAGTCATAATGTACAATTGATGTTCCAATCAACCCTTGGAGGCCTCATCATTGGTCTACAAAAAGAAATAAAAAGAAACATGTTGAAACTTGAAACTGCAAAAACAAAAAAGACAAGAAACAATGGAACAAAAAGAGAGTTATATGGCTCGATACAAATTGGTGCAAGGTTATGTTCATCTAATCATCGTAAAACTCACGTGATTGAGTTGATTAATTAAGGATATTGTTAACACACCAAATCTTTTTCTATCTTTTGTGATAATATGGTTGTGCTTCGTATAGCCGAACAGCGGAAGGATGTATAAGGGTTAGTGAAAAATTGAAAAGAAAATGAATTTTAACTGTACTTGGTAGAGTAGAAAATAGGAAGAAAAGAAAGTCACTTTATTTAAGAGACTTAATTTGGTCATTTGATGTTCTTCCATAGACTATAACTTCAACAAAAACAAGCAATGTAGTGTCACTATCATGTTACCACATATCGTTTTCAAATTAGAAGCAACATAACTATTTTCAAAATTTCATCCAGCCACTTATTTATTTATTTTATTTAGGTCCCAAACTTTATTTGTTTGGATTTGAACCATCTTAGATGAGGATATCAAATGTGTGTATTCTCATGTAGTGGTTTGCTTATCTTAACTTGACTACAATTATGAGTATGAACGAATAGAATGATTTACAAATGATTTGTACATATGCTCGATTTTTATCCATTTATATTTGTTTATTAAACTGAATAAGCGATCACAAATAACATTTTGAGGTTCGTTAATTAAACGAATACAAACATAGCAAAGTTTGTCATTTTTGGTTTGTTTATTAGGCAGAACTCTAAATGAAAAGAACGCTTAACGAACAGTTAGTGAACATGTTTGGTTTCTGTTTGTTTACATTCATTAATTAAGCTTAACAATCAATCAAGAATAATATTGTGGGATTCGTTAATTAAACAAACAGATGACAAATATAGCAAAATTTGTTCATGTTTGGTTCATTTAGACTCCTAATTATGACTGTAACCTTAAGCCTAGTTGAACTTAATTCTTGGGTGAGATAATCAACATCGGACTTATATAAAATGAGTTATATGCTATAACCTTCAAAATAATGGAAAATTTTCTGCTCGTCCTTATATCAATTTCTTCATGATTTAATCTCTAGCCACTCATCTTTAGAAACTACTGATTAATTTCATAGCCAAATTAAACAAACAATTAAGATAAAAAGCATGTAAACAAGAAAACTTAAGAAATCATACCTTCTCAGCACCCTCTTTCTCCTTCTCTGCCTTTTCCTTCTCAGCCTTCTTCTTCATCTTGTCCAACCTCTCCCTCTCCATTTTCTTGATGCAAAGAGTCAAAATCAACAAACAGTACTCATAGAACACAAACTGGAAACTAGCATAAGAATAAACAAACTCATCATACAGACTAAGTTAGTCTCTAAAATGAAGGGGAAAAGGAAGTTATAACCAAACAAAGGAACCTATACAGTATGCTGTCTTAGGGCGTGTTTGGAATGAAACTCAAATGGAGTTATTGCATTTAACTAATATTAGAAAAAAATTATTCAGAAATAATGAAGTATTGTGTTTAAAATCAATAGTTTAAATGATTCAAAACATAGCAAAACATAGATTCAAATGACTTGCACAAAATCCCATAAAATAGCACTAAAGATTTCAGTTTTCATTTTCTCAGAAACAAAGAGTTAATCTAATCCCTAATCTAATCCCTAAGCAAGGTTAACGGTGGAAGAGAATCAACGACCCGATTCAACTTTAAAATCAAATGTTTCATAAATTTCCACTAGCTTTATCAATCTCGAGAAGCAAACAGAGCTGTTCATAAGTTAAATTAATTAAAACCTGGATGTAGACGTTCTCCTTAGCGCGTTCCTCCTCGCTCAGGACCCGACCCTTACCATCGCTAAAGCACCGAACTGCACCACGACTTGACTCCATTGATCGATAACGCGAGGCAGTACTGAATCGACTCAGTGCTGATCTCATTACCATTTTCAAACGTTTTTCTATTTAGAAAATTTGATTCCTTTCTTGTTTATTGGAAAGAAAGATATCGGGTTTTATTTAAGAAAGAAGCAGAGAGCATTGTAGAAACAAAGTCGATCCAAACACAGGCTTGGATGTCGGGTCGGTAGCAATAAATTTTTTTGTCGGTTTTCACAAAAAAAAAAATCGACTAAAAAAAACATTTTTCAAGACCAAGAAAAAATACTACAAAATTTTTTTACTACAGAATACTTAAACAACATCTTTAACCTATGATGTCTACATAAATTAACATTATATGCTTTTCAATAACACTAAATTTTAAAAATATAATTTTATCTCTTTCGTAATAAATAAATTTATATAATTATATCTGATATTTAAATTATCTGATAACCAATCTCTCTCCATCAATATAATTTTTAAATTAATTTACGTATCACATTAAAAAATTAGATCAATAGTATTTATAGTCTCTAAACTTTGACTTAAATTCTATTTTAGTCTCTAAGCTTTAAAATGTTCTAATCCAATCCCTAATTGTCAAAAATTTTCTTATTTTAATTCTTTCGTCTATGCAACCATCTAATTGATAACAAATGCTAATTGATATCACGTGATAACATTAACTATCATTTCATATAACAAATGAAAGATTAAAATAGAATTATTTCAAAGTTTAAGGATTAAATATGAAATTATCTCAAATTTTTATATATTTCATACATATCTTATAAAATATTAACTTTAAAATTATATTTTCATATTTTTTGTTATAATATAACTTATTAGATAGATTTTTGTTTTAAATAAAAAATAGATATTCAAAACTTAAAATTAAGTTAAAATTTTCAAATTCCTTTTCTTCAAAATTTAATACATTTTTAAAAAAATTATTAAAAATATTATTTTGCTCATTAGTCATGATAAAACATATGATTTTCTATCCAAAAAATTTTAATTTTTAAAATATAAAATATCTTTTATTTTTTTCTTTTTAAATTTATTTTATAAAATACGTTTTATAAGAAAAAAATTTAATTATATTTTTTATTTTATATGAATAAAAAGTTTTTATATTTTTGAATATATTAATAAATATATTTTTTGAAAATGATTTGAAAATTCTTACATAATATTTTAATATGATTTAAAGTTTTTATTTAATTTCTTAAAATGATATAAAAAATTTTTACTTAATTTTTTAAAATGATGTGATTTTAACAAAATTATTTTGAAATTTTCAACTTAATTTTAATTTTTTAAAATCTATTTTCTATTAAAATATTATTTTATTGATAAATAATATCATTATAAAAATTAAAAAAATTTTAAATTCTAATATTTTATAAAATGTATTTGAAATAAATCAAAATTTTCTTGAATTATTTTTATCTTTTCCTTTATTTATTTTTTATAAAATATATTTGAAAAAGGAAATAAAAGATATTTAATATTTTAAAAAATATACTTTATGGATTGAAAATAATAGTTTTATTATGAATTATGAGTAAAACAATATTTTTAATAGAAAATAATTTTTTTGTTTTTAAAATGATATTGAATTTTAAAAAAAGAATTTGAATTTTTAACTTAAGTTTAATTTTTTAAAAAACTATTTTCTATTAGAAACAAAAAATGTATAACTAATAAATTATATTATAACAAAATATAAATGTTAATTTTAAATTTAATTTTTATAAAATATATATGAAATTTATAAAATTTTTTAGATAGTTTCATTTGTGGCTCCTAAACTTTGAAAGAATTTTATTTTAATTCTTAATATGTCATGTATATGCTAGCTAACATCATTACGTGATATTAATAGACATTTTCTTGTCAATTTAAATAGTTTTATAGATGGAAGGATAAAAATATGATAACTTTAGACAATTAGAGATCCGATTAAAATTTTTTAAAATTTAAAAATTAAAATAAAATTTAAGTCAAAGTTTAGGAATTAAAGATGCTATTAACTGTAAAAATTATAATTAGAAGAACTATATAGTTTTCCAAAATTTTTGATAATATTATGCTATATTCTTGAAAATGAATTTTTGCAAACATAAAATATCATGCTTGATTGGGTTGAGATTTCATTATCTTGTGGAACTTATCTCCCCATTATTGTTTCTCATCTCTCCATCTATTTTTAAACGGTTTTGTAGAATTTAATTAAGGTTTAAAAAATATGATTTTAGTTTTAAAAATTTGGGGTTCAATGTATAAAATAGAAGAATGAAAGAAGAATAAGAACAAGATAAAAAAAAGGAAAGGAGAGAAAGATTGATATATGAGGCGCATGAGGGTATTTTTGTAATTTATTAAAAATAAAATTAATATTTACTACGTGCGCATTTTTTAAAGAAAATTTAAAATTTATGAAATGTAAAGAGAAGCTTTTATGGTATATTTAGAAGTGCTCATAAGTTAAATCCCATTTTCAAATCGTGCATTTCAATCCAACCGAGAGAACAGAAAATGCTTTCTCTAGCAAATCTGTTCAATCAATGAATAATTTTACAGTCATTTTCTTAGAGCTTGAACATTGTAGCCACTTGGTTTATGTAATCAATCTCAAGAATGACATTGAATAATTTAAATCTTAATACTGACAAATCATTCCCCTAGACTGCAGACTCTTTTGTAATAAATAAAAACATTGTATAAGCATCAATCAGAAGATGGGAAGAAATAAGAAACCCTCTCAGTGCTTGGTAAGAATTTCACTGCTTGTGCCTGGATCAATTTCCAATGCTTAAGACACGCAAGAATTACAACATTATTGACACAAATAAATCAACTCCAATAAGAGTAGATAGGAAGTCCTCTAATGACAGTCCTAATGCTTCTGGTTTTCTTCATCACTAGGAACACTGAATAAACTCACATTTCTTATTTTGATCATTCGAAAATTCAGCATGAAATCTAAAGAAAGTTCTGTAGGAAGCATTATTAGTATATGTTCCCCATCTGCAAAGTACAAGCGAACTTCAAAATACAGAGAAAATGCTTATATCATTAAAAATCTTGGACTAGCACATGCTCCAAATAGACAAGTTTTAACAATATGAAGTTCCATCTGTACGTAACTAAGAATATGATGCAGAGACGTACATGGATGTTCTTGACTTACAGCGTTCAACACATTTCTTCCTATTCTTGCAAGTGATATTATCCGGTTGGATCCTTCCCAAACCCCATCAAAGCATGAGTTGCTAGCATTGAACCCCTGCGAGTCAGCTCCATCATTCGGCCAACGAATGGAAGCTTAACTGTTTCTCTATTTCGAAGAGGCTTCTTGTCCCACCTATAAACCATGTGCATAAATTTTTTCATGATCAACGAACTAGATCAGTTTATTTATTTTGAAAGTTGGAAAAGATTTTATTGATGTAAATCAGTTACAAAGTTTCTTCAAAAGGAAGAGCGACCAAAATAATAAATTGAGACCCACTCCCCATATTCCATACCAATGCCCTTACATTAACGCCCTGCATTAAACCAGCTTTCAGGGCGCATCACATCCCAACAAAGCAATGATATCCCAAAAAACATTTTGACAAAAATGTCAAATGCACAAAGCCACCATATATAGACAAAACCAAAGAGTAATCCAATACCAACACAAAAAAAAATCATAGTAAAATACCCTGCAAATGCAACTAAACAATCTCATAGCCAAAACAACAACAAAAAAAAAAGGCCAACTCTCAAAATTAATGACTCCTATCAATGCATAAATCATAATTTTGATAACAACTGATGAAAAGACTATGTGAATTAATTGTTACAGCTATGCAACGAAAACTTCATCCATCCCTTCCAGTTTGATATCTGTCATAAAAAATAATATGCATGACAGATGATACTCATTGAAGCATTCGTACTACTAGTTAAATTTGTTGACAGTAATTAAAACCCGAACTTAAGAACCAAGCCACCATATGTTATCAAAAGAGTTTCTTAGGCACTCTTCCAGAAAATATTAGAGCCAGCAAGATAGGAATGAAAGTTTACACAATGCAGGAAGACTAGCTTAGGATAGAATCACATCGAACATAGTTCAGCTTCAGCACCTCATGAATCAATGTTCTCCTGAAATATCAGAGTTTCCATACTAGTTTACGCATTTATAGAAAAAAGCACTCATCTGAAATTTGTCAGAGTGCTATCAGCAGCCTAGGGCAGCTTCATTTCATCAGTTAGAAAGAGTACTCACTTATATGAAAACTAAACCACACAGATCTCTTCCCCCCCCCCCCCCCCCCCCTTTGGCTTTAAGAGGGAAATTGCAAGTATACCCCCCTGACAATGTATTTCCCCAAAATCATGCAATCCAGATTCCATTTTCTAAACAATTTTTCTTTGTAGAAAAACAAAATGCATCTCAAATTCCATAATAAAAATATTGGCTTAACTGAAAGAAATACCACAAGAATTTGAGAGTATGGTGCATACCAATCTTCGTGACGAACAACTTTTCCATCCTCAACAGACAGCCTGATCAGTGATATCATATCTATGTTTCTTCCCAAGAACTTGTATTGTTGCTTGTTGTCAATTAATATCTGGATTCAACGTGCAAAGCTTCAAACCTCTAGCTATATCAACAATCAAATTGAAACAGAAGGAAATGAAAATGGGAAAGCTTCAAAGAATATTGCATATAAATTTCAGACCTCTTGCTTTCCAGATGAAATTACTTTTTCTGTGACACTATATTCAACAATTCTTGATTCACTAAAAACCTGATAGGATGAAACAAAATTTTGTTATCACAAGTATTAAACAAAGCTGTTTAAAAGAAGATAATTGACTTTTTATTTATAACAACAATATGATAAATATTGATCAGTTAGTACATGCATTTAGAATTGGATTGATAGAAGAAATAAAATATAGAAAAAACAGTAATATATGTTGTCTTCATTAGGGTAATCGACAGTTTTCACAAACCCTTGCGGCCCTGTCTATCACATTAAATAGTAGCTTTAAATAATCTGATTAAACATTTTTGTAATTAAATATCGTGAACATGAAATAATCTGATAGCAATCACTTATTTATATATGTTTTGTCTGCATGCTAAGCTTTAAACCAAGTTAAAACTATTCACTATCAAACAAAAGAAAATTAGCAATGGTGGGCGAGGAAACAAATTAAATAAGCTAAAATAAAATGCTTTCAGTCCAAGGATTTATTGGAGCATGTAGTCAAATAGCCTCATCTATAAGAACTTATAGCTTGAATGCCACAAGCAAGTTTTAAAGGGAAAGTCACAAATACTTGGCACACAATTGAAAGGCCTCTAAGAGATAATTGTTTGCTTATCTTTCAGATAAAGAAAGATCAAGAAATGATAGGTGATAGAGGAGGGATGAAACCTTAGAAAGTGAATAAAATGCTGATTTGATCTGCTTCACTCTGTAGAAACAAATATAATATTTATTTAAGGCAGAATGAAATGATATTAGTGTTATAATCTGAAAAGGTCAAATGATGTAACAAAGAGGAAGCTTATAATCGAGCAGTCAAATTGCAAATTACAAGGCATATAATTCTTTATCATAATTTTGTGAACAAAAAATCAAAGTCTGCTAGCATTTATGGCCCACCAAAAAGGAATAGTGGATCTAGGTATTAATTTGTCGAATTAATATATAGTATTAGTATTATTTAAAAGTTAACAAGATATACCAATATTAAATTTGCCATCCACAATCACTGCATGCTTAATATAACATTAAAATTCACAAAAGATTATAAGAATACCATATTGGCATGATTAAAAGAACAAAGATTTTGTGTTTTTCTTTAATTCCTAATCTACCCTGTAACCTCAACTGCTATCTACTCAACTCACTTGAGGAAGACGTTAGCGCCTAAGTCTTCTTGAATCCACAACCTCTAGGAGTCTATCAAGTATGCAAGCCTACTTAGCTAATGCTTAGTTACTAAATTAGGGTACTTCAAATTAAATGCCACCTTGCCTTCAACTTATAAGCAACTTAATTTATAAAAATATAATACTATTCTTTTTTTTTTTCTTTTGCAATATTCAATCCTAAGCCAGCTAAAAAGCATATATTTTGAAGCAAATCGAAAATGAAAATTGTATGCAGATTTTTTTTTGTTAATTATGATTCTTGTATCTTTGAATATACATATATATATATATAAGAAAAAACCCAAAAATTATTGTTTAGAAAACAAAACTTCAGTCATACTTTTAAAAAGAATTTAGAAGAACAAAATGTTACTTAAGCCCAAAGAAGTACTGAAGTAATTAAGATTTGGTAAGAACTGCCCTAATAATATTTATTACAAATCCAGCTTACATTGGTTGTGTTGAAATCATGGTTGTAATTGCTATTACTATACTCAACTCAACTTATTGTAATGCAAGGGGAGAACTACTATTCTGCAACTCACAAAAATAGCAACAAATGCCAGAACTAACCTTTACTCATGCAACTTATTAAACAACTATTCAACAAATAATAATAATAATAATAATAAAGCTATTACAAGAGACTTGACGAATAGGTTTTAGCCTATAATAATACTAAAGTCATTCTATACAAAAACCTAATATAGGATTTTAGCAATGCCCATCCCTTGATCCTGGCATTCCCATTAACAATTACACTTTACCTAGACATGCAGTATGCTTCACTTTGGTACCAATGCCTAACGTTACCAGATGCGTTGGTGGTATCTATTGGTGGAAAGAAAAGAGAAACTAAAAGGAAAAAAAAAAAAAAAACAAGAAGTGAAGAAAGAACAATAAAAGAAACTAAAATCCAACTCAGTAGCCACATGGAAAACTTTGGCAACATGGCAGTCATTAATCACATTAACGGCTGTTAATAAATTCTTTAATTAGTTTTCATTAGTTCATCAAATTTGGTAAGCTGATATCCTGAATTAATTGAAATAAAACATAGAATCCATGATACGATAAAGGTTGAATTCTTCTTCTTCTTCCCTTTCTTTTTAGGAAAGAAAATAATGGTTGAAGTAACACAAAAAATTATGATTGCTTAGAATGGATGAAAACAACCAAGAATGGGTGAAAACAACAAAGTATAATGCAATCCTTAAACTATGTTTAAGACTCATCAAAGGCAACCATCTAGAAGAATGGTCATCAATAAAGTCATAATTCACTTCCAAATGAAAATTTTCAAGTTTTAGTACAAACCCATGGGCACACATTAGAGGGTCTTCAAAAGAAGCATCCACATGATATATTTCAAAGTCGCCTGATGTGGCACAAGATCCATATCTGAACCAATCCATAACAAAGTTTTCATGAGCTCTATGATGTGGTTAAATAATATTTGACAGGAAAAATCTTGCGAATCAAATGGAAACCAAAAAACAATAAAAATACTGCATCTAATGAAAATCTACAATTTCTTGGGAAGTCCATTTCATGTAAACTACTATAAATGTATTTCTTGAACATTAGAAACATGCAAGAATATTCAAACAAATTGTTTAAATTTCAGTGTAAGGCGTATGAGTTGGCTTAAAAGCCAACTTGCTTCCAGTAGCGCAGCAGTAATAACCAGATGCTTTAACTCTATGTCCAACAAAATTTTAAAGCTGGATGGTTTTCAATCTGCATAAGCCACTAAACATTGTATAAGGTGCTTTCTCAGGGCAGGAATGAACCAATAACTAGGAACAGAAACTAAAATAAATTAGAACAGGGTCCTATACTCCAACTCAACATGTTCAAGCCATTCACCTATAAATGGCTACGTAAATGTAATATTTCGAAAGAGAATTGATAAAAGAAAATTATAACATATCATTAGGGATAAACAAGCATTCTAAGAATTCGATTTGTAATTCTTTGAATCAAATCAATAGGACAACTCAAGCCCAAAGCCCATAGAAACTTATCCACAGTCGACTGATTCATTGAAACCATATCTTCAATGCCATGATTAGCTTCAATGATCAGGTCCTATAGTTGTTAAAAGAAAACATTTACAACATGTGCACCCCAGACAACAATGAAGAAGACAGAATTGGAAGTGAAAGACAAGAACATGATTTGCAAGAAAACTTATTGATTCTTTATGCAGTTAGCAACTTATTACAGGGAATCCTACTGTCCTCAATGGCCGGTAGCTAGGCCCCCCCCAAATTTTAGAAAACCCTTTACTTAATTATTTATTTATATTAAATAAAAAAATATGAACTGAGTTCTCAAATTAAAATTATTATATGTTAATTTTATTTATTTATTTATTTTTGGATTATCTTAATTTATGAGTTAAAATTCTATTACTATTTGGCTGTTTTTTTAACTTTCTCAACAAAAAACTTTAAGTTTATCAAATATTATAAATGTGTATTGCTTTTATTTTTACCGCCAATTACTACTCTTTTAAAATCAAACATCAAGATCCCGCTAACTGACCTCCACTTAACTGACAGTGAAGAAACATGACTTGAAGATAAATATTAATTCTGTCCGATGAATAATGTTTTCTTCAAATTTAACTTACTATGAAACAATTAAATGAACAGAATTTAGAAAAGACGTTATACAAAAAACAAAAATCAGACAAACTCAATCCTCAAACTATCTTTGTTTTCCAAGTTCTATGTAAAACAAAAAGGTTCAATATATCATCAAGCTGAAGAGAGTAGAGAGAAGAAAACTGACAAGTTAAGAAGGTGAGGCATTATATCATCCGCAAGACGCTTCATTTCCGTTGGATTAGATTCACATGCTTCTTTGCCCATACACTCTGCTTCTTTCATGAAATCCCTTTTGCCTTGGTCACCGAAAAGCCACAACGCGTATAGAAATTAAGAACAAACAATCGAAACGAAAAAGTAAGAAAAAAAGTTCGACGACAGATGAACAACAAGAGAAAGAGAAACCTTCTGGGTAATTCACTTTCTCCATGGAAAATTCTGAGATTTTCTTCACAGCCAAACGGTAAGTAGAGAGTGGTGGGTAAGGAAGTTTTGACAAGTAATGAGGAAGAAGAACAAAGGTCATGGCATCTAACATGTCCACGTGGGCTTGTCCATTACCAGATTTTATACGGAAGTAGAAGGGGCTTTAGCTGAGTTCTTTAAAGGTGACGTCAGCAATTAGATCCATTTAAATGCGTTTGCAAAGCAATCTAAAAATGTTGACAGTTAGATCTTGTTCCACTATCTTCCACCGTTGGATCCATTACAACATGGAGTAACCGACAACTTCCCGGGGACGGCACAGTCCAACGGGTTTTCGATGGAAAATAAAGCGGTGCTCGTTAGAAATTTAACTAAAACAAAAAATATATATATATTATATATTTGTCAACACAAAATTATAATAAATAATTTTTTATAAAATACAATATAAATATATAAATTATTAATATTTTATCCAAAATAAGTAAATAAGTTATCAAATCGACTCAGATATTTCTAGTCCTAAAGCCTCTCTCCTTAAATCTAAAAAATTCAAGAACAAACGCAACTTACAAACCCAAATTTCAACAATGCTTGCTATCAACCGTCACTCATAGAAAGCGGAATCCTTCCAAAATCCTTTTTATTTCTTCAACTCAAACCCTTCTTCATATTTATCTGTTTTGATTTTCTTAAAAACATCTTTAAATTTGTAGATTTACAACCCAAAATCGAACTTAATCGTTGCCTAAAACCCTACTTCGACGTCCTCGTGTCATAAGCCAAGCAACAGCCCAATATTTATTAATGGGCCTTAACAGAGTTTGGCCCATTAATCATATTTTTCTATTGTCATTCAATTTATGAGATTACTAACCTTGATTTATTTTCGTAATTCAATTAATGCATTACATCTCATTTAGTTTAAAATCATTAATTCATCAGTTTTATATTAAAAAAGACATAACAAGTGTAAGCTTTAAACTTTGTTACATTTATAATTTAGAACAAATTTAATAAACAAGTGAAAAAAAAAAAACTATAACTCAAACTCGTTTAATAATTTTCATTGATTATCATAATTTTGTTATAATTTCATCAAATAATTATTTTTTTATCATTTTATATATGTCTTAAATAAACAAAATACCCATTAAATATAATATATGTGAAATAATTATCATAGTAGTCATTTATTTATCTACTAAATAATTAATAAATTTTATTTTTAAAGCCATATGCTTGAAAAATCTCACATATGCACTTAAAACAATTATAATTATCAATAGAAAATATTTATTTTCCCTTAAAAAATAGGTAAAGAAAGAATAAGAAAATTTTAAAAAAAATAGTTTGGGTTAGCCAATTAAATAATAAAACTTGATAGCTTAATAAATGTTTGAATCAAATTTTAATTGTAAGCTTTAGAAATAAAAAAAATATATTTTATAACTATCTATTATCTAATCTCACAAGATTATAAATAATAGATCGAGAAGATTGAATTATTTTATATTAAAAAATAATAAATTCTCTTTGTAATCTAATCTTTTTTAGTATGTAGTGTGCACCAAATATAAAATAAGATAATAATCAATTTCTCCTATTATATCTAAATAATTTGCACAAACATAAACAAAATCTATTACATAAGTCACATCTTGTAACAATTGACATTTACCTAAATTTTCGATTAAATTACCAAATAATTTCCTGAAATTTTCTTATATTTCCTGCAATTTTTTTTTTTGGTTGAAATTTTAATGAGGCATTCCAATTTAGAAAGGGAGACCGCTCCAATAATTTTGTTTTATTATATTGAATGGAATATAGTTTCTACTTTTGTTTGAGAAAAATTATTAAAACTCTAGCATTGGATAAAATATATAAAATTAAAAAATGCATTAGTCGGTTCAAACTTGGTGAAGCATAAAATTAAAAAATGCATGTATGTTTAGTTGAAAATAAGTTTATTAATATATGTTTATTAAATTGACCACCATTGGCTGGTTCAATGAAGTGGGTTTTGTTCTGAGTGTTGGTCAGCCAATACTTCCACAAATGTTGATGATACATGGCCGTTGCATTATTGATAGTTTTGGTGTTGCTCTCATTAAGTGCTAGTGTGTGAATCTTGTCACTGAACCAAGACCCTTGGTAAGTGGTTATATTGTTTCGATTTCAATTTATTATTAAGTTTTTTTTATATTTGCAATTAGGGTTATTAAAATATAAATATCATTTTTGTAATTCATTAGCTTCCCTCGTAATTAAAGAGTGAGAAGAACACGTTTTAGCCTTCAATTGATAGCTTTCCTAGTAACAAATAATGCTGGGTCCATGAGTGAAAGCAACACGAATTCTTGCTAAACCCAGATGCCAATATCATTTTTTTTTTATTGCCATTCAATTGATAAATAGAGATAAATTTTATTATATGATACATTTCACCTTATTTAGTTTAAAATTATTACTTAAACGGTTTTATTTTTAAAAGAGACATAACAATTGTAAGCTTTAAATTTTGTTACATTTACAATGTAAAACAAATTTGATAAACAAGTGAACAAAAGAATTATAACTCAAACTCGTTTAATAATTTTTTTATTACCATAATTTTATTATAATGTCATCAAATAATTAATTTATTATCATATTATATGTGTCTTAAATAAACAAAATACCCATGAAATAATTATTAATGTAACAATTCATTTATTTAATAAATAATTCATAAAATTTATTTTTGAAATAATATATTTGAAAATCTCTCACTTGCACTTAAAACCAATCACAATTATAAATAGCATATTTTTTTTCCTTTCAAATATAAGTTAAAAAAAAAGTTAATTTGGGTTAACCTATTATTTAGCTTATTAAATGTTTAAATCAAATTTTAAATGTAAATTTTAGAAATAAAATAAGTAATTTACAAGTACGTGTTATCTAATTTCGTAAGTTATTCCATTAATATATGAAGATTTAATTCTCTCAAAGTCCAATAATTTTTATATGTAAAGTATGCATTAAATATAATATAAGACGATAATCATCATCTCTTATCCTAACAAGTATGCGTTATCTAATTTCATAAGTTATTCCATTAATATATGAAGATTTAATTCTCTCAAAGTCCAATAATTTTTATGTGTAAAGTATGCATTAAATATAATATAAGATGATAATTATAGACACCCTACTTTATCCAGGCCTAAATTCATTGGGCTCAACATGGGGTTGGGATTAAGCCCGTTCGACTTAGCTTAGACCTGGTCCAAATAGGTAAACACATTTACATTTTATTTTTATTTTTGTTTATTTATTAATATTATTATTATTTATTTATTAATATATATTATTTATTTTTATTTTATCATTTATCTGTTAATATTTTTTATTTATCTATTAATATATATTTTTATTATTTATCTATTATTATTATTATTTTCTTTTTTATCTTTTTCTTGATTGATTTTCGGCTAGGATTAAGATTAAAAAAAATTGGATTTGGCCGTGAAATTAAAGGCTGACAGAATTGATATTGGATTCAAAAACTTGAATCCAAATCTCAGATGGAGTTGGGATTGATCAGAAACTCTTCTGATCAATCCCTATAAATAAGTTCATAAGACACAAACACATGGGGGGGAAGGAAACAGAGAGGTGAAATAGAAGCAAAAAGTGTTTAGAGGAAGTATAGGATTTTTAGAAGATTTTTTTCGAATTTTTAGAGTTTTTTTTTTGGAAAATTTCTGAAAATTTTTCAGAATCCGACTAAATTTTTCGGCAAACTTTGAATTTTTCAATAAGTTTTTCGATCAGATTTGAAGATTCCGATAGCTTTTTTCAGATTTTGATAAAAATTCAACCGGAATCTGGGATTGTTTAGAGAGAAGGAGGAGAAAAGAGGGAAAGGAGAGAGAGAAGAAAAGAGTCAATCTGCGAAAAATGAAAGTGGGAGTTTTTTATATCATGCTAAAACGATGTCGTTTTTACGTTAGTAAACCTAGAGGATCTGTGCGTTTTGCTAAGATCCGACCCGACCCGTAGCGCACCCGAACCAGCAACCCGCTTCTCCGCCTGGGTTTCAGCCGAGCCGAGACTCCGACCCATGCGTTTGAGCCGTGATTTCTATCTTGAGCCGAGCCATTTTCGAATTTTTTTTATATTTTTTTATTTATTTTATTTAAGTATTTTATTTATTTGCTTTTTTTGTTTTTTAATTATTAAATTAAAAATAAAGTAAAAAAAAAATTTTGAGAATGAATATTAATTATCCAATGATGGAATTTATAAAAGTTTCAAATGGTAAATTTTTATAAAATTCCTAAGTGAGAAATTCTATCTAAATTTGTTCAAAATGGTGAAATAATATAGATAAAATTTCAATAACAATAATTAATATTTATTTTCAAACAAAAAAAATTAAAAACATAAAAAGCATAAAAATATAAAATTTTTGAAATTAAATACAAATTACCCAAGGATGAGATTCTTAAAAATTTCAAATGGTAAATTTCTAAGAAATCTTTAGGTGAAAATTTTTTTCTAAATTTGATCTAAATGATTGAATGATTTAGATGAAATTTCAATACAAGTAATTGTATTATTTTCTAAATAAAAATTTGGATTGAAAATATTTGATAATTATCTAAAGATGAGATTCTTAGAAATTTCAAATGGTAAATTTTTAATGAATCTCTAAGTAAAAAATTTTCTCTAAATTTAATCCAAATGTTGGAATAATTTAGATAAAATTTCAATAAAAATAATTGTCATATTATTTTCTTTCTAAGAAAAAAAAATGAATTTCTAAATAGACCCAAATGGTGAAAAGTTTAAAAATTCAAAAGTGAAAATATTTCTAATTTGATCATAATGGGGGAATAATTAGATTTATTTTTAACGAAAATTGATAATAATAAATAATAATAATAAATAAATCTTTTTCCGACGACAGAGTCTCTTCAAGAAATAAAATGGAATTCTTAAATACTCTTGAGGTGAAGAAGTATTTTTCAAGAGTTTATCAGATTGATGGAGAATCTTAAAAATTATTTCCAATATTTAACATAAAATTTGAAACCATTAAACTTCAAACTTTAGGATAAATTTGAAATAATATGGTACAATCCCTTGGATGAGCATGTGGAGGTGCTATAACCTTCTCCGTATGTAACCAAACTCCTGAGCCTTGTTCTGATTAGTAGACCCGAACATATTCTTTTAGGGACCCTTAGTCAAGCTTAGGAGTTCTTTAAAATGATAGATTCCCTAAGTGACCAATCACACCTAATAAAATATTAGTGGCGACTCCATTCATTTGTTAAATCTAACTATAAATTTTCGGATCTATATGTTATGACAATAATCATCATCTCTTATCCTATCTATAGTCACATGCACTAAATGTTAATATTGCGTCTTGGAACAATGGTTATTTATCTAAATTTTTGATCAAATTGCTAAATAACTTAACCAATCTCTCTTGCATTTCCTATAATTTATTATTTTTAGTTTAAATGTTAATAACGCAATTAAATTTGGGATGGAAAATGCTTCAATAATTATATTTTATTATATTTGAATGGAATATAATCTTTATTTCCATTTCAAAAAACCCTTAAAGCTCTAACATTAAATAAGATATATAAAATAAAAAAAATCCATATATGTTTAATTGAAGATTATCTTGCTCTTATATATTCATTA